TTTAAGTCCAGGTTTAACTGTTAATATCCAGGTCTAAATATGCAGGTAAAATGTTAAAATTAACAGGATAATTTTAATAATATATTAGTATCGGGTTTAAATCAGCAGGTACATATATTTTATATTAATATCCAGGTCTAAACATGCAAATATTAAATGTTAAATTAACAGAGATAATAATTTAAGTCAGTTTAAATAGGCTAGTATGTATATATTCAGTATGTATATTAATATTCAGATCTAAATATGCAAAGATTAAAATATTAATTAGGGATAATTTAAGTTTGAGGATGCTTTCAGCATCTAAATAGGACTGAGTTCAATTTTTAATTAGTGAAAAATATATTATCCTGTCAAGCGAGTTCACTGATTAGAGAACAACTAAGAAATTTGCCACCTTCTATTAATACCTCTCAATCTTCTCCATGTGCAAGAAAATTACCCAAAGATCATTTGCCTGATTGTCTCAAATACCAAACTTACAATTCTGGTGTAATACGACCTGCTGCGATCTTCATAAAAGCTATCATTGCCTCTGATCATGATTTGTCTAATAAAGTTGAAAATATTGGTGACAAATCTGATCAGAAAAAATTTCCTTAAAATCTTATCAGATAATCCTTTGGATATTATTACACAACAAAGTTTCAGAATTAAACTTTCACTGCGTAACCAATATACTTTCGCTTGACTACAATATACTTTAGTATAACGTTTAATAGTTTAAAAGAAGTATAAAAAATACTTTAATTAGACTTTAAATGGTATATAGGTTATTTTAGAGTTTATTAATATATATAAATAGAATGATATATATAGTAGTTAGGATAGATTGGTCTTTTAGTTTTAGTGAGTTTTGGTCTTGCGGGTTATTTGAGTAAAACTATTAGTAAGTTTGGAACTTGCTAAGTAGTTAGAGAAAATAAGTGTATTAGTACTATTAGTGTGTCTGAAACACATAGTAAAGGATATTTGTGTGATACTTTCTGGTACCGTTTGTGATAATAAAGCACTCAGTTCATTTTTATTAATGCTTACAGTCCTCTGCTAAATTGGCACGATTGATACTAAGTCTCTCCCTTGACTGTAACAATATTCAATATTAATATATTAGATAATCTATTGGAAATCTGATATAAATGTATCGGATATCCAACGGATATCTGATATAAATATGTCAGATAATCCATTAGATATCTAATATAAATGTATCAGATATCCAACAGATATCTGATAAAAATATATTAGATATCCAACAGATATCTGATATATTTATATCAGATATCCAACGGATATCTGTTATAAACCTATTGGATTATTCAGTTAAATTCATTTAGATATCTGATCTAATAAGATAGATATCCAGATATAGTAATATAGATAAATAGATGGCAAATTAATCTGGGTTGAAACTCTAATATCTTGTGCTTGAGAAAAGAAGGTTTCTTTGTAAAGTTTTTTTAATATATACGATAGAAAGTTTTTCTCTGGTTTTAAGAATATGAAAGTATTTGAAAACTTGAGCAAGATAGTCTGTTTTGATTGGCTTGTTAGTGATTTATCAATTGCTTGTTAGAGATAGAGATTGTTGATTTGATCATTTTTGGCAGC